TTAACGGTGCTATACGATTAAGTTAACGGTGCTATACGATTAATTTAACTGTGTTATACGATTAATTTAACTGTCTTATACGACTGATTTAACTGTGTTATACGATTAAGTTAACTGTGCTATACGATTGATTTAACTGTGTTATACGATTAAGTTAACTGTCTTACACGATTAATTAAACCGTCTTATCTCTCAGTGCATCCTGTTCAGGAACCTAAGAACTACATGTATGTTTTGATGGTCTAAATCTGCAGAGTGTATAAGCGATTGAACCAGACGCTTCAAAATAGCAAGGACATTGAAATGGTTGTTTTCTTTAGGTTTCATTGCCTGGTTTATTAGATTGACTTTATATCTATTACCTGAAATAACAATGAATTCCACCTTTCCACAACTAGTTCAGAATATATCTATATAAAGGTGTGTAAAGTTAATATTTTTTTAATGTCCGTCCAGGTGCCTTTTCTGCAACGCGTCATTCTTGTTAACCGATTGTCAAAATGTCGTAAACATGTAGTGATCCTATTACTCTGTAACTGACGGCCACCATTATGTCTGCCGCCCTGATTAGCACTGGTATTAGTCGAAAGACCTCTTCGGCACTAGGTATATCAGATGTAGTGTGGTTGACACATTATTATTCATTCTTCTGTATTTTAACTTATAATCAGGTAAAGATTGCATATGCCATACAGCTAGAACATTACTTTGGCCCTGAGTCCGACCCTCCCCCCTCTTGGAAGGAGCAAGCCCATCTGAAGTGGTGGGGCAGTTTTAGTTGTTCTCCCCCCTCATATAACCAGTTCAGTGAGAAAAATGCTCAATTTTCCTCCTTCTCCAAGGTTAAAAGGGCAGCGTAACCTAGGGGTTAATTAGACTCGTAGTCGAATGGTTAGGGACTCAAGATTTCTTGAAACGTTGTTGTGCCCTTGAGCAAAACACTTTACCCAATTCTTCAGTTAACCCAGCTGTATAATAAGCAATTGTTTTATTAGCGCAAAGCTATGTAATGGGCTATATGCGCTCTGCCACCAGCGGGGAATCGAACACCGGATTTAACTGTTCTAAACTTATTGCTGTCACACTAGGGGGGACAGATAATATGTGCTAATTCATGATGTTAGAGAAACACATAATTCCAACGAGTCAATTAAAGACATAGATAAGAAACCCTAGAACCCGAGCGCTTTAGAAAGATAGACCTATCTTCGTCAGGAACATTCTCAGTTTGTCCATGATGAAGGGCCGGCATGGCCAGGTGGTTAAGGCACTCGATTCGCAATCTGAGGGTCGCGGGTTCGAAT